ACCTGCTCGGGCACACTCGATCATTCCTGTACCCTCCATATTGTGTCTTGGGCACTTTTTATTTGGGTGGGTGGCCCCATGTTCTCGCCGGGCCCTATCTATAAAGCTGCTGGGGCCAGTGGTGAATCCAGAGGAGGGGGAATGGGGCACCGAACTATGCCGCTATCGTGCCCCGTAAGGATCCACAGCCTCCGGAGGAGCTCATGGCCGACCGAACGAGCGCAGCTTTCTAAGACAAAACATGACAAGATTGGACGTCTCTGGGCCTCAAGACGGCCAAGAACAGACGCAAGTGAAAGTGAAGAGCCTGTGAGCAGACAACGTTAATTTTTTACTGATTGAGATGGTGATGGTTGGAGGACAGTTTGAAGCTCATTACACTGTCAAGAGGCGTTACTCTGCTGCCGGGGCCCTACATATCCACTTGCTTGATCAATTAGATGGCCAAGGAGTCCTCCACGCTGCCCTTGATCTTGCGTTTTTTCGTAGGCCCCTACGATGCTGTTGGTACAATATCTGCTAACATGCCTGGGAACTCCTGATCAAGAAGGGGTCTCCAGGGATTCCTTCCATTCTCCTGAAGGGCTCTATACGCTTTTGCCGGGGTCCCGTATGCCGGGCACACTCAGTTGCTCAGGTGCCTTTCACGTTGGTCTCGGTTTCTTTCCACTTGACCGGAGAGCCTTGTGCTGTTGTTGGAGTCCATATGAGGTAAGTTACGGAGCCATTTGATGCTCAGGGGCCTTCTACATTGATCTAGGGCTCTTTCCCTTTGATCTCGTTTGCGGAGGACCCTTCACTTCTATCGGGACCCTTTCTGTTAACCTACTTGGCCACTGTTGATCGTACGGGGCATTATCACGCCCACTGGTCGTAGATAATTCTCCCTAGCTCAGAGGGCGCTGTGGCCGAGGCCCTGCATGCCAGTCTACCGGGGCAGTCCCAGTCGTTCAGGTGCACACCACGCCGGTCCTGGGCCATTCTCGCTCGCTCTGGGGACTCTATACTTGTTGACGGGAATCTCTAAGCTGGCATGCCGCGGCACCCATGGCCTTGATTGCTCACGTTTCGTCGCTGTTGGTCTTGGTGCCGTAGCCTTAGAGCAGCGGCCGGATAGGTGCCAATGAATTTTTAGGCACAGTTGTCGAACATGTTTTCACGTGCCGCCAACGTCGTATGCGCCATCTCTGTTGGCTAGTGAAATTTTGACACCTTTTATGCTTGTGCATCACGCTCTCAATAAATGTTAAATGATAATACATTATTTACTCCTGCATAACAAGCAAGGCAAAACTATGCAGTCATCATCAGCCATCAGCTGATCATATCGACCAGCGGGCTACCTGTAAATGAGCTAGCAATCAAGCTCGTGCTTGATTTTGAGGGTGTTTAGCAGCTAGCTTTAGTTTATGTTGCCATGTCTTTTTCCGAGAGACCTATCCTCAAAATAACAGGATTCAACACGGTCTGAAGAAAGCGAATAAGCTCCATGTATGTGCATACGTAGCGCACCTAGTTTTCTAGGGCTGCGCACAATTAGATGGGTTCCCGTATAAAAGTAGGATGCTAAGAATCTCTATATTTAATGGCCGGAAAAGGATTTTTGGCCGAACCCTTGACTCTGGGGGGCACATGTCGCGTGCCCGCCCTACCCCCCCCCCCCCTTGACAAAGTTCTGGGTCCGCCCCTGCTTCCAGTTGGAAAAAAACGTATGTGTGTCAGGGGTTCAGGGAAGTTAATTGATTCTTATGTGCGACAATGCGCGTCTGTTGCTGGTGCCAGCTGTCAATGTTATGTGCGGTGTGAGGAGCAGCTGGCGTTTGCCTCACTCTTTGGTTAATGTCTCCCGAGCCAATCAATCCAGCAGTTGGGACTCAGACATCGTCGGTGAAGTGTTCACATGCTTTGCGCCACCGATCTTCCTTACTTTTTGTAACATCTTCTTCATCCACTTGCGGTTTGAACCGAAAAGGCCATTTTGAAGATTATTCGGTACAGTCCACAGTCATGCCCTTCTTAGGACCTAAATCTCTCCAATTTCTGAGCTTCACGCCGCAGGGATGTTGCAGATTATGTTTGGGGCTATTTCAAGGTTACCCAGACATCTATGGCGCGATAATAACGTCGTTCAGATCCTGTCATTTTATAAGTCATGCGGCGTTCGACGACAGTAAAAATATAATCGTCGATTCGCTTATGCATGGCGTTCATGAGCACGATTTCCAGATATAACGGTTGTCAATTGGCTTGCAATTAATGTTGTGCAAGGTACGATGACCCAATCAGGCAATGACGTGCTGAGTAACGTATTCACTAAGCAGAGAAATTGTGATCTTTAGAGCAGTACTTTCCACTTCAAATTATACCAGTGGTTATAAGCAAGCTTATTTCATCATATCTGATGCTTGCTCAATTTCTTCAAATGTGGAGCATTCCCGATTACGTCCATTGTGATTATTAGTCTGCATTAGGCACGCCTGGGCTGATGATTCGACACGGTTGTAAGATACGGCTGGTATAACGCCGGGTTTTGGCCTTCGGCGTTATGAAAAGAGGCCTGAAACAGAACTGTGTTCAGCTTTCATTTCATTCGGGCCATGTCCTTCGCGCGGCGGCCCCGCCGCGGTCTGGTGCGCAGCGGCCACCTCGGCCGCGCGTGACCCCGCCGCTGCTCATCATCTCCGCGCTCGACCATCCCGGCCGGCGTGGTATCGAGGCAGTCTCCCACGGTCCAGTCGAGTGCCCTCGCTCCCCCCCCCCCCCCCCCCCCCCCCCCCCCGCTCCCCGCCAGCCTCATCTGCCGCCGCCGGCTGGCGGGAGGCCGGTCGCCCTCACGCCAGCGGGGTCCGGCGCGGCCCGGCTCGTTCCGCCCCTCGTCCTCGTGCGCCGCAGTGGCCACGGCTGAGCGTGACAGCTCGTCCCGCGCCACTGGCCGGCGCCGGCGGCTCCCGACTCTTTCTCCGACTAATGACGGCAGCCCACATAGTCATCGCAGCATTTTACGGGGCTGAGGTTACGGCGGTGGCGGTGTCGCCGCTTCGTCCGCCGCAGCCGCCCGGATTTCGCCGCGGGCTGTCGACGTCTCGCTCAGACCGCCGTCACCTCGTCACAGGCTGCCAGCATCTCATCGCAGGCTGCTCTGATATCGCCGCATACGGCTAAAGAAGCGCTCTGAACCTTATTTTATCGAAATATGGAAGCCGTTTAACGTTGTGAGATGGGGTCCATATTTTCTATAAGTTTGGTCTGAGAAATGTTTTCTTTTCATACCCAGGAACGTCATATTTAACTAAGCATCAGGCTGCAACTACTCCGACCGTACTTGCCTGTCAACAAACTTCCGGAACACTTAAAACCACTGCCTAGCATTTTAGGTGGTAAAGTTTTACATGAAGGGTTTATTTTGCGGCGCCTAGCGTTCGGTCAGGAACGTGTGCCCCCGGCCAACTGCATTGATCGTCTCCCGACACGGGCCTAAACATGCTGAACTTAGTTTCCATGAGCCGGGAGACAGCCGGGGTGAGAAAAAGTCCTTTTTGAGGTTACCATGCACGTGCAGGTTTTTAAGGTTAAAGTGAAAAGCTAGCAGCTGACTTGGGCTGCTTTTAGCTCGTCGTTATCAAACGCCACAAGACCAGTTGACAATGGGATTGTACTTCTTAACTACGTTTCTCCAGTTGTCACGAAGGATTGTTGCGAGGAGTTATGCCTCTAAGCAGGTTGGAATGACGTTGGAAAAAACACTCACAACCGCTAATGAGGCTGTTAGGAGCGTAATCCTAAGATCTGGTTGACCTCAACTTGGACAAAACTGTGATCAAACGTTTTGCAGTTGTTTTCAAGATCTCAATACTTTCTAAACATAGCTTGTTGCGAGGACCATGACTAAATCACACCAGCGGGGCGGTTTCGGTTCGAAGAAAAAAGTTAACAGATATTGCAATATGCCCTGTAACGTCATGATAGTACATGACGCTCAATACCACGACGCAACCGCCCCGAGCCAGTCTTGGCTCTCTCGGTCACCTGCCAGCAGACCGCCAATAACGAATCAAATGAGCTGTCTCAGGGACGCGAATTCGTCCGTCTGCGGGCAGGGGCTAGACGCTCGCAGGGTCTGCCACACGGCGGTCACACGTGCACCGCTGTACCGGCCCAGTCACGGCTCCCGGCTCCCGGCTCCCGGCTCCCGGCTCCCGGCTCCCGGCTCCCGGCTCCCGGCTCCCGGCTCGGCCGTCTGGGGCTGCCGGCAGGGGCCCCGGCAGCGGCTCCCGGCTCGACCACCTGGGGCTGGCGACTCGGGACTCGGCAACGGCTCCCGGCTCGGCCGCTTGGGGCTGCCGGCAGGGGCCCAGGCAACGGTTGGGGTATCATCACGATGAATCTCGGCCCCAGTTGGGCCGAGAAAGTCGGGCATGAATATCGTGCTAACAAAAACGGAAGATGGGACGCGCAGTACTGGAGCCTGCACTCCTTCCGTAAGGGGTCCTTTGGTGATGGAGGACACACAGCTGATCACGCGCGATTCCAAACCAGCAACACGAACTCCGGCTGGGGTGGCACGCCAGACCAGCGGCCCCTCCATGGCGCTGTACGTTTTACCCGTGCCATCCACATGTCTACCAGCTGGGCGATCGTTTGCATGGCGCCGAACTGATCGGCAAATTCAGCATATAACAAACAAATCACCCTCACCAGTCGAGTCCAACGCTCAGCTGTCGTCCACGTCCCGGTTCATTCTGACCCCGTCATCACAGCCCTGACAAGTCACGCAAATACGCACGAGGTCCAGCCCAGGCTCGATCGGCGCTGGCCCGACGTACCCTCCCGCGCCTCCAGTCTCCAAGCCATCGCCCCCCGCTGCCGCAACGCTGCAGCCCAGCCGAGTTCGACGGGCTCGACGAGCGAGGCCGGACGGCGCCGTCGCCCGCCGCCGGCGAAAGTCGCCGCCGGCGGGCGAGTGCGGCCCCTCGCGGCCGGCGCCAGTCGCACCCCAGCGCCGTGTTAGCTCGGTTCGGCCCGCCCCGGTCCCCGCTGGAGGTAGAGATATGGCGACCGGCGCCCGCGCCCCGGCCGGACCCTCCCCGCTGATGGCGCCGCTGCTGCTGCTGCTGCTGCTGCTGCTGGCGCCGAGGGCGGCCTCAGAGAGCGACCCACTGGCGGTCGACAGGCAGGTGGGTGCAGACCAAGCTGGGGCAAGTTCGTGCAAGGTGGGGGAGAGGGGTTCAGGCGGTCCACTGGGGTTGATGCAGGGGGTACATCAGAGAGATGAAGGGGATCCAGGTGGGCGGACTGAGAGGAGAGCAATGTACGTGGATGGATTGGGAGTAGAGGGTCCAGTCACCCGAATGGACTGGAAGGAGAGGAATGCACGCGTATTGACTGAGGAGGGAGCGGCATTCGTGCCACTCCCTTCTATGAGTGTCACTCATGTGTGTCAGCTCCTCAAAGAGTCGAAGTCGCCTGGAAGGGCTGTGAGAAGGTAACCCGGCTGACCCCTCCAGGAAGGGCTGCAAGCTCGAAAAAATCGTGCTTCGTCCACTATTGTTCCGAGCTGACATTCCGTGGTAAATTTCATCTAATGTCATCCATTTCGACCTTTCATACGAGTGGCCGCTGTTTAAGGCGCACCCCGGTGGCCGGATAAATACCCTTCGCTGGGGTGGGGATCAATTTTAATTCGTTGATATTTTCCATGTTTTCCTGGCAGCGGCGAGGTCAGCCGATCATCCCGGGTGGGGATGGCCTCGGCCGCTTGCGGGCTCCTCCCCCACAAGTGTGCAACAGCATTTGTTGAGACAGTGAGTGAGCGACGGCCGAAATCGTACGCCGGCGACGGCGAAATCGGCGGAAATCGTGAATTTGTCATGGTCGCGGAGCCGTACCGTTTTGAGCAGCGGCCGAACAGAGTCGTCGGATAATGCAGGGTGGGGACTCACAGCTGATTTACTGCACTTCACGCCAGCATAATTCGACCGCGAGCTTATCTGGCATCGAATCTGAAGCACACGGAAACTTCGATAAACAGGGATGAACCCACGGAAAGTCGTCAGCCCGATCAAAATATCCGGTGATATTTTCCTCAGAAGTGTCCTTTTTTGTCATCATGTGCGTGTTCTTGGCTTCAGGTTTGTGGTGCGTTATGATTTGGACCAAAGGAACCAAATTCAAAAAGGTAAATTGTAATAGGTACGTGATGACGAAACAAAAACGTGTCGGTAATAAAATCTGTTGCCTATTTTGACAGCAATGACGGCCAGTTATGGGTTTCCCTCATATTCGTATGTTTTTGTGTGTTTTAGAACAAAATAACTTTGGACTAATAGGCGCCAGTTGACCCTCTGTCTTATAATTATAGTGTGAAAAGGACGATACAAGAAATCAAACTAAATGCTCACGACGCTAATTCGTGCAGCGAACGCAGTTGTCAATCTATAGGTAGATCCCCTGACGTGGAAGTCAGCGATACGTTAAGACTGAACCTACGGGTCGATCGCCAGAGTCCGAAAGTTGCATGGTATTTGTGTGTATTATGGAAGTAAGCGAGGAAAAGAAGTAAACATGAAGTAGGTGTTTTGTAGTTTTTACATGGGCGATGTAAATCTCGCATGATTCCGCAATGATTCTGTTGACCTATAGTTCGACGCGGTGCGTGTTGTGCTTAGAGACAAAAATCACGGAGAAATATTGCATTTCAAACCCTGAAGTTAACTAACCCACTCACCCACACTGCTGACCCATCTCATGCATCCTTTCACGATTGAACGAACTTAGTTCTGACCGTCCAGCCTTCCCCAGCTGTCGAACGCGCCTAAAGGGATGTTCAACTTTGATAGCTTTACTATTAACGTATCAAGCGGAGTGATGATATTTGATTCCGATAAATACAAACCAATGAGGTCACACAAAGGCCTATGACTGCCAAATATCACCTTATGGCATCCAACCAGCCCCCCCCCCCCTCCCCCCCCAGCACAAACACCATAAACAGTACCTACAGGAAGAGAATGTCCGTCCACGTGCCGCTCCGTTCGTATGGTTTAAATGGAGATTAGTACGTTGGGTTGTATCAGGTGTTAGTGATGCTTGGTTCAGATACGTTACTATTTTGAACAAAAAAACCAACCTTAACTATGTGAACCTTGCAAAACCTTAATGTGAACATATGTGGATCTCAAAAACACCTTAATGCGCACAAATGTGAGCCACATCCTTTCCACGAAGAATAAAATTGAAAAAGACAGAATATTTTTGGCCCCCGGCGGTCTTCGCCGCCCGTTGCCATATTGTCACTGGTATTCGTAGTTCTGATTAACCACCTTTGGCCAACGCAGGGGCATTGATTATGAGAAGCACTGTCAGAGACCCTGGCGCGCATCGGAGCAGCTCCAGTCAGAACCATCTGTGTACGACAGTATCTCAAAACAGCAACCAATCCGATCTAGCCCCGCATTTCTAAAATGACCAGGATTTAAACGAACGTTCATTTTCAAGTTTGGAAGGAAGCGGTTGCCCGTTGCATCCTCCGTGGCGACGCCATGGTCGTTCATCCATTCCATGGATGGAGGAAGTAGACTGCATGGGATCATAGATGTCAAAATGGCATGCTTAAGGATGCGGTGGGACCAGACCCCGCCCCCACCGCCCCCATGCCATGGGGACAGAGAATGTCCAGGTAATAGAACGCGTCGCTTAGACGTCAAACAAAGACTTTCAAGCATAAAATTCCTTGTCGCTGTGACACGAGAAGGACCTTTCCTCTTTACGATGCTGTCACACGTTTATTAAGGAACGGCATTTGGCGGGATTTTTTGTTTGAATTGTTGAGGTAAATTTCAAGCCTCGGTCGACCCCTTTAATCATTTAAAAATCATATGACCCCTTTGAACCCTCGTTGCGATGCTGTTATCTGTATATCACGGATTTGTTCGCCTGGTTGAACGTTTGCGTGCATTACGATGTCAGGCGTGGAGGCTTGTCGGACAAAAACAAATACGCAATGGGCAAGTTTTGAGGCAGATGCTCAGTATCAGCTTCACAAGCTATTTGCACATGAATTAAATGTAATTTGTTCCATCTCTCTGGTTTATTTTACGTGGAAAGCGTATCTTCGGGGCCTCTTTTTCAATTTGAATCAGTCACTACCCCATTGTTAACTTGCCGCGCACATTTGGGCTCTGGTACGCCGGGGGTGCAAAGTTTGTTTTGAAAGCTATTAAGACTTGGGGGGCCGGTGGCCCACCCAAAAGAACACCACTTGACACCTCTGGGGAGCGCAGTAGGGTGCGAGCCTGATAGGGAGAAATGTGCAGACGGCTGGACGCTGCAAACCGATGCGTGTCGTTGGTAGAACTGTGTGGACCGTGAATGGACGTGGCGGCCCTTGGTTTGATCATTGACCTGCATGCAGACTAAAGCTGTTGCGCGCTGGAACCACTGGAAATAAAAGCACCCAGGCGTGTGAAGACACCGCAAATAAGAGTGCCCAGGCATGTGAAGACACTGGAAATAAAAGTCTCCAGACATGTGAAGCCACGGAGGGTGTTCGGCGGACGCACGGCAGAGGAGACAGTGATGCATATGCTTGAGAGATGATCCTGTGCAGACAACATACCATTCTGAGCGGGTGAATGCTTAGGCGTATAGACGTTTATGCATGGGTGCGATTGGTGGGATGCAGACGGCCCAGGGAGACGCCGCGTTGCTGAAGAGAGGTTGGAGGAAGCGTGGCCAGCAAATGATGGAATTATTTGGGAGTGGGAGATCAAAAAAGGGAAGAGAATGCGGCATCGTAGCAACTCCCAGTTCCGCGCGGCTATTCGGTCCTCCGCTTGAAGGCAATGGGTGACGAACCCTCTTCCTGGGGGGGAGGGGTTCTCAGTGGACCGCGTGGAAATCTTGTACAGCCGAGATAACCCATGCGCTGCATTACAATGTCAGCACTGGAGCCGGTACAAACGTAGCATTTTCTAAGTCCACATTTGCCGTTTTTCTGATAGCTGTGCACATTCTGATCAGGAATGTTACGAGTGTTGATCTCATCTCTTTTTTATTTGCAGATTGTGAGGTTTTAGAGGACACCGGCAGGCCAGATCCCGTCCCTAGGGCGGGCACAACGGAGATATTTAGAGGACGACCGGCAGGCCAGATCCCGTCCCTAGGGCGGGCACAACGGAGATATTTAGAGGACACCGGCAGGCCAGATCCCGTCCCTAGGGCGGGCACAACGGAGATATTTAGAGGACACCGGCAGGCCGGATCCCGTCCCTAGGGCGGGCACAACGGAGATATTTAGAGGACGACCGGCAGGCCAGATCCCGTCCCTAGGGCGGGCACAACGGAGATATTTCACAGAACTATGGGGCCAACAGTAATAATGAAGGGAAATTCGTTTATGGCGGAGCATCCTCGTGGAACTGCGACCGTGCTTTCCGTGGGTGAAACCAAACCGACAGTATCTGTTTGGTTGCGGATGTAAGGAAAGCGTGTATCATGGAAACTGCCTTATGGACCAGCTAATAAGCTTAAATGACAGGAACGTGTCGAGATGAGCATACAACGGTCTTGCACCATAAATGGCGCCGGCAGTAGCGGCGTGATGAATGGGCACCACAATCCCGGTCTCTGCATCACGGTCTCGAGAACGAGGCATGGTAAATGTGCTTGTGGAGCTACGAGCGTTACGGCTTCAAGTGAGCGGAATGTAGAGGAGATGTTGCGTCAAGTTGCTGCAGCCAAGAGCAAAGCTGAATTTCAAATGGTTTACACGTAGCAGGATAGGACAGAGATTCCAAGTACTGTTGTATCTCAGGGACTGCTAAGCTAGCAAATCCCCCTCGAAGCAAAAAAGCGTGCCCTTGGCTTTAGATCCTATTGCGATCATGCATGGGAGGTTGATAGATTTCAGGTTCAGCTGTCTATCCACTAACTGCAGTGGATTGGCGACACCGGCCATTGATTTTTCAACGATATTTCGGGGGCACTGAAGGTTGTACGCGAGGAGTAACGGATGGAGCAGGCAGGAGCTGAGTATCCGTCGATATTTCTATTTCACATGGTCTTTGCGCCCATCCACCACTCGAATTGAGTTGAGTTTACCCCAATCGCTAGCTGGGTGGTTGTCTATGGTGTAAACAGGTGAAGATCTTGCAATTTTTCATTGGTTGGGTATCGCGGCCACCTCACGTTAATCACCGTGCTCTGATTCCGTTCCAGCCTAAACTTTAAAGACGTTGAATTAGAACCACGGTACACACACCACATTGGATACCTGTCACGCCTGTAAGCACAAATTACAGGAGCTACGCCTCAAGGCACCAAATGGCCGCGTAGCTTTCTTCAGGACTGGACAGTGGGCGGCATTGTTTGAATGCTAGTTTGAAAGAAAAGTCAGCCACATCCTGTCCTCCTCCGATTATCCGTGGCCGTAGTGAGGCTGACTGCGTTTACCGGAGAAAGTTCGGTGGCGCACCTCCGCGCGCACTGCCGACCCGCTGCTGCCGAACAGGGGACGGGGGCATTCGGCCATTATGGTGGAATATGATAGGACTGCGTTCAGAACGTACGAAGTAATTTCCTAAAACATTCAAGGCAACTGATTTCCGATACGTCATTGTTTGATAGGTTCACACAAATAGACTCAGATACACCCGATGGCCGCCGCCCAGTGGTAGCCGCCGAACCGACCTCGTGCGGCCTACGTAGACTTCAACGCCGAGCATCAGGGTCTGCGAGAATTTGTTGTATAATTCCTCTAATCGTGATTGTGATCGAATGTTGAACATTCCCCGACGAATATGAGCTGGCTGTGTTTAATTTGTGAACCCATTTCGATCTACGTTCTTGCGTTCGTCTGCGCTCATGGGGCACTCAATATCTCTGGAGAACTCATAAAACATGGCAAAACCCTCTGAGTTCTGTCGGATTGAGGAGAGACCACTGAACCATCGTAAACCATATAGCAGCGGCGGATCATTCCATGCAGTCATTTATCATCCGCCGCCTCCAGTTAACACGCGCAGGGGTGGTCGGAGAATGTCACGCGCTCGGATGAGGGGTCGATTTGACTCCTCCCTCTAAAATCCAAACGGGTTAGAGAGCTTGAGACGCAAAATTCACAAAATAAACTCACTGCTAAAGCTTGACGTCGCAGGGTTATGACCCTCAGGTCGTATATGGTTAAATAAGGTCAAACTTCAGATTGGTTCCCGAAGTACATCCTAACCTGGACATGTAACCTCCTCGAGCTAGGTACGCGAGGGCGCACCCAGCACATTACCACTCAATGTCGGACGATGAAGTCGAGTACGCCGAAAACGTGACCGCCCTAGTCGTCTATGTCTGTCTGACCAACACTCAATGTCAGATGATGAAGTCGAGCACGCCGAAAACGTGACCGCCCTAGTCGTCTATGTCCGTCTGACCGACACCCAATGTCAGATGATGAAGTCGAGTACGCTGGAAACGTGACCTCCCTAGTCGCCTATGCCCGTCTGACCGACACTCAATGTCAGATGATGAAGTCGAGTACGCCGGAAACGTGACTGCCCTAGTCGTCTAAGCCCGTCTGACCGACACTCAATGTCAGATGATGAAGTCGAGTACGCCGGAAACGTGACCGCCCTAGTCGTCTAAGCCCGTCTAACTGACACGACCCTACCTATCCTGCAGGAGTTTCAGACTCAACAAGAGGAACACCGCAGTCATATGAAGTTCGAGCGAGGAAGTGGTGTACGGAGTACAACCAGGTGAGGGAGGACGATGTCCGCAAATGTGGGGAGATGTGGATGTGTCGCAATGGCAGAGACACGTTACTTGAATTTCTGTGTTTCACTTATTGAAGGCAGTGGGCCTGTAAAGTGCTTTTTTCATCGAGCAATTAGGTCGTTAGTGTTACCACGAGCGCCTTTTCAGCGAGAAAAGTTACAGCGTCAGACACGTGAACACTTTTGTATTTAAACAAGCACTTTCGTACTATGACAGTAAAACGCCATCATGCACCATGGGGCGATTACCGTAACACACCGAACAAAACACATCAGAGTGTGCTGACCACAGACTTGCAGCTGACGTCAGCCATCACTCTCCACTGGCGTCAGCCATCACTCTCCACAGGCGTCAGCCATCACTCTCCACTGGCGTCAGCCATCACTCCCCACTGACGTCATCCATCCCTCTCCGCCGGCCAGCCACTCCCCTTTACCGACTCCAGTCACCACCTTCCACTGGCGTCAGTGGCCACCTCTCATTAATGTCAGCCACCACAATCCACTGCCGTTAGCCCCCCCTCCTGACGGCGACCGTCTCCGCCCGCAGCGCACCTGAGGCCCGGAGCGGAGGCGGCGGCGGGGAGCCGGCCGCGCCCGTGCCCAGCGACAACTATGCCACGGCAAGTCGGGGCCGTGTGGAACGTCTGCCGGCGCCGACGGCGCTGCGCCAGTTCCGCGGTAGCCCTCGGCTCAGCACTAAGCCGCCGTTCGTGGCCAGCCGGCGCACCAGCGCCAGCAGCGCCGCAGACGAGTTCCAGCCCGTCACCGGCGCGCCGCCGAGCCCGCTGCGAGCGCCGGCGCCGGCGGCGGGCTCGGCGCCGGCGCCGGCTGCGCGGCGCCGGGAGCCGTTCCGAGCGAGCGAGCGGCTACCAGCGCTGGAGGAGACGGCGGCGCCGGCGCGCCGGCCCCAGTTCGCCGGTCACGTTAGCACGTACAGGCCGGCGGTGAACGTGACGGCGCTGCTGGCGCAGGCGCGCCGCGCCGCCGCCGCCCCCGCCTGGGCCGACAACGACGAGGCGCCGGCCAGGATCGAGACCTACAAGAGCCGCGTCAACGCCATCAACGGGCTGTGGGCGCAGGAGCGCGCCACTGCGCAGCCGTCGCCCAGCGTCTCTCCCGTGCTGACACACCTGGCGGAGAGTGGCCGTGGCACCGCGCGACCCACGGCAGCCCCGCCGCGCCCGAGCGCGGGCGGAGCTACCAGAGCTGGGGTCCCCGCCGAGCCGACCCCGGCCGCCGCCGCTGCGCTGACGCCTGCTGACGAGCGGCACTACGACGCGGCCGGCGGGCGCGACCGACTGGTGTCGACCACGCGCCGGCCCGACACCCGCCGCCGACAACGCAACAGGAAGCGGCGGCCGCACAAGACCCCCAGCGGCGGCTACCTCAAGATTAGCTCAGGCGTGCCCTCGAAGACCTATGGGACGCCAACAAAGGCCTACGGGACGCCAACGAAGGCCTACGGGACACCAACGAAGAGCTACGGAGCACCTTCTCAGAGTTACGACGCTCCCTCGCATGCTTACGACGCTCCCTCGCAGGCTTCTGACGAGCCCTCGCAGACTTACGACGCCCCCTCGCCGAGTTACAACAGGCCGGCGGCTCATCCAAACGCCATACCTGCCGTCCATAAGCCGCTGGCGGCGCCGGCGACGACGCCGGCACCGGTCACGTACCCTAGCCCCACCTTCAAGCCGCAGTTGATCCCGACCTTTTCCCCCCAGACGTCCCCGGCCGGACCAGCGTACTCTACCGCCGCGCCAACCGCCGGGCAGACGTACGGAACGCCAACGACTCAGAACACAGCACCGCAAGCCGGGCAAACGTACGTAGCACCGCAAGCCGGGCAAACGTACGCAGCACCGCAAGCCGGGCAAACGTACGCAGCACCGCAGGCCGGACAAACTTACGCAGCACCGCAGGCCGGACAAACGTATGCAGCACCGCAAGCCGGGCAAACTTACACAGCACCCCAGGCCGGGCAAACTTACGCAGCACCGCAAGCCGGGCAAACGTACGCAGCACCGCAGGCCGGACAAACTTACGCAGCACCGCAGGCCGGACAAACTTATGCAGCACCGCAAGCCGGGCAAACTCACATAGCACCGCAGGCCGGGCAAACTTACGCAGCACCGCAGACCGGGCAAACTTACGCAGCACCGCAGGCCGGGCAAACGTACGCAGCGCCGCAACCCGCGAAAACTTACGTAGCACCGCAGGTTGTCAATACGTATTCACCCCAGCAGACTGGGAATAAGAACTCAGCACCACAGACTGGACAGACGTACATCGCCCCGGTTGCAGTGCAGCAGTCTTACTCAACCCCGGTCCCAGCCCAGCAGTCCTATTCAGCCCCAGCCCAGCAGTCCTACTCAACCCCGCCCCCAGCCCAGCAGTCCTATTCAGCCCCAGCCCAGCAGTCCTACTCAACCCCGGCCCCAGCCCAGCAGTCCTATTCAGCCCCAGCCCAGCAGTCCTACTCAACCCCGGCCCCAGCCCAGCAGTCTTATTCAGCCCCAGTCCAGCAACCCTACTCAACCCCTGCGCCGGCCCAGCAGTCGTACGCGTCTCCAGCGCCGGCCCAGCAGTCGTACGCGTCCCCAGCGCCGGCCCAGCAGTCGTACGCGTCCCCAGTGCCGGCCCAGCAGACGTACGCGTCCCTAGCACCGGCCGGCCAGTCTTACCTCAGCGTGACCCGCACCATCAGTCCGGCGGCGCACGGCGGCGGGCCCGACGTTACCATCTCCCACCACACTCTCCTGCCGAGCGGCGGCGGCCATGCCCCGCCCGCGCCCGCCACCTACACAGGCCGCCGGAGCGAGTCGGCACCGGCCAGCGCAGAGCCGCAGGTGGTGGCCACCGCGGCGTACGGCAGCGGGAGCGGTGTGCTCCCCGCGCCGCCCGGTACGGCGCTACCCGCCACGACGGCGGCGGCGACGCGCGCCGAGCAGCAGGCGTCGCAGCTGCAGACGGTAGTGACCAGCCCGGAGGGGCCGCAGACGACGGCCAACATCGGGCTCTGGACGCTAGAGACGACGGTGGACAGTCCGCACCACGCGGACGGTACGACGGCGCCGCCGGCCGCCGACGAGCCGCATCACCACCCGCACCACCCCGTCGGCGGGGACGGACGCGAGCCGCACCATCCGCACCATCCCGCCGCCGACGAGCCGCACCACCACCCGCACCACCCCGTCGGCAATGACAGACACGAGCACGGCAGCCACGGTGACGCCGAGGAGCACTTCGTCGTCGAGAACGAGATAGCCGACTACCAGCCGAGTTTCGAAGAGACGGAGTTGGCGCCGCGCCGCCCGGTGCCGGGGCGGGGGCGCCGGCGACGTCCTCGGGGCCAGCGCTGCTCCTGCCGGCGCCGGCACCGGAAGGCGTCCCCCGGCGGCCTCTGGCACTGGTCACAGCTGCCGTTCTCCCTGATGCCGTTCCAGTCGCTCCGCCGGTCGCAGGGAGCGGCGCGGCGCGCCCACCGGCGCCGCGTGCGCTCCGCCGACCTGTCCGCCTGGCTGCGGCGGCGCGGCCTGGTCAGCGACGAGCCCGCCAGCCGCACGTACCACGTGGGCGGCGACGGCCGCGGCGCGCGCCTGTTCGACGGTCCACTGAGCGTGCCTCTCAGCACGCACAGCCGGCCGTTCCTGCACACGCTGCGGCCGCAGGTGCTACCGCCGCCGGCGCGCAGCTTCGTGCCGCTGGAGGCGCCGACCGAACCCTCGCTGAGGGACGCCGTGCCGGTGGGAGTCAGCCAGCGGCGAGACGCGGGCCGGCTGCGGCCGGGGGCCGCTGCTGGCGCGGCCGGCGCCGCTACGGCGGACGCGACCACGACGGTTGCGGCTGGCGAGGAGGCCGCGGAGATCAGCACAGAGACGGCCCTCACCACGCCGCCCGTCACCCGCGGCGCGGTGTCAGAGACGACGGCGGTGAGCGGCACCACGCCACGAGCGCTGCACCTGTCCCTGACGCCTGGCGGCCACATACCGCGCCTGCCCCAGCCGCTGGCGCAGACGCAGGTGCCGCACGGGTTTCGGCAGTACTTCGCCTCGGGACTGTCCGCTGGCCGCAGTCGCGCCAAGACGTACTACGTGAACAGGAAGCCGACCGGTGCGGAGGAGACCGCGGACTCTGTGGAGGGGGCCACAGCTGTCCCGGCGCTCGGTGTGGAGACGTTCACCGTCTCTGGGGCTCTGTCTGTTGAAGATACGGCAGGAAGGGAATCGGGTGAAGACGAAATCACGGGGACCGGTGACGTCAATACACAGTCCCCGTTCGTGACTGCCGATTTCAGCACCGCCCCCGAGATCCCAGAGCAAGAAGTTTTCGCGGAAGTCACAACGACCAGGCCAACCACGCAGCCTGTGACACATAAACCCGAAGAAACCACGACCGAGCACCGCCTGCCGATCCCGACGGGGCCGACCACTGTCAACGAGTATGTGGCCACTCTGCAGCCGTATCGCATCACCACCGACCAGCCGCGGAAGCATACTATCACCACTGACCAGCCGCGGAAGCTGAGCATCACCACCGACCAGCTGCGGAAGCACACCATCACCACTGACCTGCCGCGGAAGCACACCATCACCACTGACCAACCGCGGAAGCACACCATCACCACTGACCAGCCGCGGAAGCACACCATCACCACTGACCAGCCGCAGAAGCTGAGCATCACCGCCGACCCGCTGCGGAAGCACACTATTACTACTGACCAGCCGCGGAAGCACACCACCCAGCTCGAGTCCCGGTTCGCCCCCGCCGCGCGCACCAAGCCCACATCGGCGCCACACCCCAAGCGGACTAAGAAGCCGCTTCTCAGCCGGCGCCGGCCTGTCATCCCCGACGGCGGCCGCCGCGAGCAGGCGGTGCCGCGGCCGGCGGTGGCCGGTCACCAGCAGGCGGCGGCCGGTCACCAGCAGGCGGCGGCCGGTCATCAGCACGTGGCGGCCGGTCACCAGCAGGCGGCGGCCGGTCACCAGCAGGCGGCGGCCGGTCATCAGCAGGCGGCGGCCGGCCATCAGCAGGCGGTGCCGCGGCCGGCGGCGGCCGGTCACCAGCAGGCGGCGCCGGCCGCCGGAAATGCCGACTTCCGGCCGGCACCCTGGTTCCGCGGTCTGGCCGACATCAGCACGTTAGGCGAACGCGTCATCACGCAGGTGGCGGCGCCCCAGCTGCTGGCCGGCGGTCGGCGCTCGTGAGGGCCCGGGCGGCGGCAGGGGCGCTGGCCAGGCCGGCAAGGCTGCCCGCGGCCGACGACGCGCGGTGCGGCTCACTCGGGCGACGCGTCCTCCGGAGCGCGGCACGCATATGCCACGAGGCGGCACGACGGGCGCCGCTGACGTCATGCCGTGCTAGCCGCGCCGCGCCGCGCTGTCGCCGTTGCCTGCGGCCGGCCGGCGGGCGCGTTTGACTGAGGTAATCGCGGAAGGGATCGGCGGCGGCGTGCTGCTCTTCTGGAAAATGATGCCGCGTGACGTCATGCGGGCAGCGCCGACGGGAAAAAGCACCGCGTTGCGCGTGGACCGATATCGCTCACGAGCGCGCCTCTGCCGTGACACAACGACTGGGCAAGTCCCAGGAACATGAGGTGAAAGTGTATGAATATGAGCGAGAATGTGTTTTGTACGGGTCACCGAGGTCCATCGTCGGGCTCACATCGTCTGCATGAGTGCGTTCGGCTCGAGAAGGATGACTGTTGTCGCGCAGCTAGCGACAAATTCTAGAAGTGTCCTTTATTGCCGCAGTACATTTAAATCTAAGGTGCTGAGAGAATGTATTGTCGTTGATTCCAGTGACGTGTATTTTGTGTGCCCGCGCCAGTGACTGCCGAAGTTCGGGCGGATGGTGCGCGATGGCAGAGAATGCGCCTTGTCGCAAAGCTTTTCAACAATTGTGCCGCGGAGATATGCATGCTCCAGTAAGATTGCAACCATTGTAATGAGCCATTGTTCCGCTCTGAAATACAAAAAACGGCCTTCCGCATCGTTTTAGTCCGAACTCTCCACCCCTGCTGGCCCACCTATAGCCCACATAGGCCCTCGAGAACGTAAGATAAGCCCTCGATAAGATGCGATTATCACGACAGAACAATGCAGCGTCATGCTTCTGAAGACATCTTCCCCTTTTCCACGCGCCATCACAGTATGATCCAGCAGCGCCGCCGCGGGTCGGAGAGTCATGGAGGGGGGGGGGGGGGGGGGGCGCCGGGGGCAGCCGGGCGGCGCGCCGCCGGAACCAGTTACAGCGTCACCCTGGCTGCGCGGGCGGCGAAAGTGGCGCGGCCGCGTCGGCACGGATGGCCAGCAGAGGTGATCACGATGGCCCGCAGCCCGCACCACTGCTGGCACCGTCACGCGGCGCCGGCCGAGGTTGTCGGCACATCCGGAAGGTCGCCACTGCCCGACAGGCATTACGGACATGGTGGGCCACACTGGGTCACAGCGCTCAACAGCTCCATCAACCTGCCACTCGGCCAAACTCCGACAAAATCAATAGCTCTGGCAGCGAGCAACATTGTGTTTCAACAAGTCCGGACGCGAACAGACGAGAGCATCGCGCACGCCATTTTCTGTAACTGTCTCAAACCACTTGTCTTATATCCCCATTCATCTGAAACACAACTTTTGGGCGCCAAACGCCAAAGAAAGAAAAAATGAAACGATGCCAAACGCAGAGAGAAAGTAAAACTGCTGCCTAACGGTGACCCAGTTCATAATCATTTCACCAATATGGCTGCAAGGAATGTTGACGAGCAGGAAGGGGATATGTACATATATCATACGCATAGATCCCTTTTCAGCACTCGTGGGCGGAAATTGTCTCAGCTGGCGGAAACCGACCGGAAGGCCGAGACATGTTTGGACTGCATCATTCCCAACTGACCTGTACGCTGACAGGTGAAAGTCCGAGAGAGTTCTGTCTGATGAGAAGGAGAAGAAGTACGGTTTCGATGCGTTGGGCTTGAGACCGTGAATATGAAACTATGATGCCAGAGAGGACAGGGTGGTCTCCATGCGTTGGATGAGGGAATTGAGGTTGCGTTTGGCATGGAATATACGGATCTGGGCGTCGTCAACGTGCTGGGTCACATGAGCGTCTCGTGCGTGCAGGTCGAGGTCTTTGGCAAATATTTTAACTAAAAGAGGGCCGAGAGGTGATCTCTTAAAGACTCCCATAGTATTGGAACCATAGTATTGGAACCGTAGCATTGGCTTAGACTTCTTGTCACCAGAAGGAGAGGAGATGCAGACTAGCTGAGAAGGACCAAAAAGATAGGTGAACCCATCCGAGTCCATGTCATAGAGCTGGAGATTGAAAAGTAGTTTAGAATGAGGAATAACGTCGAAATATTTACTGAGACCCAAGAAGCATAGGAGTGAAAGATGGCCACGTTCCATGTTGGAAAAGATGTGATTGTTTACGGTGAGCAGAGCAGCCTCTGTGGAACGGCATGTTCGGAAACCATGTTGGGAGGAGGACAGAAAATGACTGCCGACATGTAGGGGAACACCTTGTGCTGCACCACACGCTCGACAAGCTTGGCTACGATAGGCACGTCAGAACTGGCATGGTTTTGGAAACCAGGGTTGGCTCTCCGGATTTGAAAAATAGGATGGGCCATGGAGTGCCTCTAGGAATAGGAAAATCACAGGTGGTCAGGCAGGTGTTGACAATATGGAGAAGGATGTGGCCGATGATGCCAAAACAGGGGAGCAGGACACGAATACATTAGGGCCACACGCTCTAGAACGCATCATGGGGAATATGGCCTCATGCAGCCCGCCAAGGGTCACACCAGTCATCCGGAAATCTCAATCACCCACTCTGGGCACCCACTCTGGGCACCCACTCTGGGCACCCAGTCTGGGCACCCACAAGCACCCACTCTGGGCAGGCGGCATGGGGCGTCAGGTGGCTGCCCGAGAACGACCAGGCTGACTGTAACACGGGGGCCGACATTGATAAAGTAGGCATTCATCTCATCCGGGGTGGAGGCAGGAAGATTGTGTGTACTGTTCCTCTTCCCGCTAACATCGGACGGATAACGCGGCACAGGGCACTGCTCCTCTGCTCATGCGGCCTCTCCTCGGCTTCCGCCCGGCAGTCACGCCTGATCGCCGACCTCACCACCCGGTCCAAGGCGCGGAAAGCCGGCGATCTCCCCTCACAATCTCAGACACGCCCCCCGCCCCGCGTGCCATGAGGTCAAGGACCACCGGGGGGACAGCTGGTGCGCCTGGGCTCCCCACTGACATAAGCTCGGTCGGGGCGTGTTTGTCAGTGATTGGTAGAACACAGTCAAGCAGGCGGGACCACATATCAGCGACTAATGGGATGCTCAAAACACCAGACCAGTCGGCGTAGTACAAATGACGAAGCAAATAAACATGAAAAATGTTTGTCAACGGTCGAGGGAGGATTTGGTTAGCCCTGACACGGTATTTTGGCAAAAGTAAGAGCGCGCGAACAAAATGGCGAGGGATGAGAGCGCATTTAATAGCTCCAATATGCTAAACGACGGCATCTGACTTACAAATGACCGCGTCTAAAAGTGGCCTAGAAGAAAGGTGGAGTCTCCAACAAACTGGTGGAGATGAAACGATCGGAACATCTCCTTCACCCGGTCCTTCAACCAGTGCCACTGGATCGGGTGTTCCCCCTGCGACGGGCGACCACGTGAGGCCAGCCTGGCGAGGCTCTGGCAGCTAAATAATCTCAGGTGCACCGGGACTGACGTCATGCTGGCGTCATCTTGGTCATAGACGTAGGAACGTTTCTAAAGTGAGGGGGGGTCAAGCTCAGGGTTATTGCAGGCACGTTTTCTGGAAAGCGAGCCCGATGACCGGCGGGGGGAAGGGATGGAGGTTGTTATCGCTCTTTATTCAAATGTAACGGCTGCTCTGCTAGATATGCATCTAGAGCTGTTTGGCACTGGTGTACAATCCTGCCTATTCGGCTCATCTGTCATTTAGCAAATCAGGCTATCCAGCTTCCCTATATTATGCGTCCATTTTAACATTGTCTTTCCTGGGGAGGCGAAATTCCACGAGCGGGTGGGCATTTTAGGTCATTAAGGAAGCATCTGCCTCCACAGTGTAGATGCCAAAATACGGTCTGGATATAGGCTGATGAGAATTTTGAAAGTGGATCAATGACTCACAGTGCGACAGATTATTCATGTTCCTTCATTTCGCTGGCTGCTTTTCAAGAGACAGGACTTGTCGCAGCATTTTAGGGGGAAACAAATTCGGCGATTGAAACTGCTAGCAACAATGTGACAAAAGTCATAAAACTGGAGATTCTCTGTTAAGAATCAAGCCACATAATGACGCCCATCTGTCATATGTTCCTTACCTAGGCCCTGCTCCCGTTCGCTGTCGGTGGCCACTGCCCTGGCCCGGATGTCTCCCGCATGACTGAATGCGATCTGATCGTATGGCTACTTTGTTGCATACTTCTGGACCAGCGTTACTACTACATGGTGTATGAAACACGTGTTGGACACCTGCAATAGTATCTTTTTCCGAACTATCTTCCCTCACACCACACCATCGCAGAAAAATAGCCTCCGGGAATTTGTCTGCCGTAGGGATGAATTAGCCCAACGGACACTTCATTGCCCATCATGTGTCATGTCATGTCATTAGGGCTTTACGACGCACCCAGCTGCTGAGGCTATATGGCGTCGCCTACCTCTCACCCTGGCAGGGAGGGCGGGAACCGCGGGGAATCGAACCTCGTACCTCTGGTTTCCCAGACGCGCAGCGGTTAACGCATTGTCCATCATGCAGCGTATACGACTTGATCTGTTTTTGTGTGTAGGCAGGGGCGTAGCCAGACCCTTGCCAAAGGGGAACACAAGTTTGACAAAAGCCCATCTAGTGGTGATCCCCCCAGAATCCCCGGATATAGCTGCCTTGTTGACGGTTGTCTTCGCTTTATTGCTATTTTTACCTTGTAACCAGAACAGAAACCAGGAGCTACCGTGAGCTCAATTCTGTTTGTATTTTGAGGTCAATAACCTGCAGAAATCAGGCGTTAAACGACTCCATGCAATAAATCGCCGGCGCTCTTAATTTACAATGGTTCGTTGAATCTTTCTAAATCGATAGAATTCAGAAGCTTTGTCAAAATTT